TCCAGGAAGCTGAATGGAATTAGTTAGGTTGATGTTGCTGTTGTTGCTTAGTTTGCCAGCTGTGGGTAGGACGCATTGTCATGGTTTTATTTCATATTTCTGTTAGAATGGAGAAAAAGAAGCAGCAGCAACAATGAAGGGCTGGTCAAAAGGTGGACCGAGTGAGAGATGTGGAGATAGAGGAGTAGAAGGCAAAGTAGGCAGAGATTAACAGAAGACAGCCAAGTGGTTGGGCGACACGATTTTACATTATCATTTGTTAAAATGTGACCCGATTTATTTTTTAAGTGGAATTATTGGTCACCATGACAAAAAAATAATAAGCTCAAAGACCAATTTTTCTCAGAAATTTGGGAATTTTATTTCATTCCTAAACTTTAAGTCTCTGGGAAACACTTTTATTATTGCTACAGTATATAAGCACTGATTAAGGCAGCGCCAGTCTTTTCTGCGTAGAAATACAGCACACTGTTGGAATTAAGAGTTGGCACATTTACATTTCCTTCTAGCAACTGGTTAGATATGATTTATGCAACAAAACTTTCTACAACTAACTTGCTTTCTATTTACATTAAAATGCACATTCAACCATGTCACTACCTAAAATTCAGTGATGCAGAAAAGGAAAAAAAACACCTGGAATGAACCGTTTTCTGCATGATGTGGTGATGATGGTGACATTTTAAGCCATGTTTCTAGTACTTCTTACCATTTACTGCCTTTGCAACCTCATATTCCTTAAAATAGGCCCGATATGGTTATTTGATATTAACAAAATGGAGTCCCAACATCACATAGTTGGGTTTTAGGTGTTGGCCACCTGTAACTTAGCTCTATAAATTTTAAGCAACATTAAGGTCATTAATCTCCATGTCCAACTTGTGATTTTTCATCCATATCGCCCAAACCAAAAGAGATATAAAGGGGGAATGAGCAAGGGAGGAACAATAGACGAGTCTGTAGCAGCCGTATTATGGTGTGCTATCCTACCTGATCCCCTTCAGGAATCTCCTGGATGGAAAGGAAGAGGAAGAAGAGGAGGAGGACACGTTCACAGGACAGAGAGAAAACACGTCAACAGCTACGGTATGGACACGGCCATGTAACACACACACACACAGATAAACTTTGACACACACGGTCATGGTTTATAGTGTAAAGCCATCTTAAATCAGAAGAACATAACTGATGGAGGTCGGATGAAAACCACATCTGGTCAAGAAAGTGATGATTTAAAACTTTTACAGATCTGTATAAAGGCTGTTTGAAGGAAATGTATCACCAAGACAGGCAAGAAACAAGAGCAGCTTAAAGCTTACATTGGTGAGCATACAAAGTCTTACATACAAATAGCTATATATTAGTTCCATGCTGGAATTAAAATGAAACACATCAGCTACTGTGAGTCTAAGCACAAATTGCACAAGTCTGAAATGTACCAATGTGAGAAGGGAGTGCTACAGTAAATTTTAGACCAATGTATAATTTCAACTAAGCCCAGCCAATAACAATAATGAAGTAATGAAGCAACGAGATAGTCTGGTGAGAAATAGACCAGAATGCTTTGCAGCACAAAATAAGCATGCCATAAACCTAATCTGGCTAAAACTTCCAAATTTTCACTGTCTAGGGTAACGCCATTTTTTATGGGAACTGTGGTCTCATTATGGAGAAGAACTGGTGCCAGCAGAAACGGTGCAAAATAGAAGCTGGTATATTTAGAAACACCAAACCTAATCTCTTTAGAGACACATTAACAAAGGCGTTCGACATACAGTACGCAAGGTACCGGAAGCAATAAGATGAGACCCAGCATCTCACACAGTAAAGCCACGATCATGCCCGTTCACCCACACATCCCAGAGGTGTTCCAAAAATACCCTGCTCTAGAGTTTAAGTGGAGTCCGTCTGTGGAAAACTGAACTGACTGGACATAGTTCAGAGAGTTACACAACGGTGTATATAAGGTCTACAATTCACCCTGTCAGGACAAAAACCAAACTATGAAGTCCCAGAAACTGTGATAAAACTGTGCTGAGGCACAGATTAAGACAACAGTATAGACCACTTTCTGCCACTGTACAAGATACCAAGTTATATTTAACCTCATGTTAACACTATGCTCAGTGGGGCTGAGCAGAGCCTCAACTCTAATGAGTTCCAAACATTTATATTCTCTGACAGGTATTATTTGATTTAGTCAGTTTTTGATCAGTTAAAGATTTGAGTATTTTAAAAAGATGATTTTGGGCTTATCACCTAAAATAGTCATATTTACGCCATATCAAACCGTTTCAAATGACTTTCACTGGTGTTGATCAGAGATAGCATCATGCTAGCTGAAGTTAAGCGCCTGCTATGTTGTGTTGGAGCAGGTTTCACTCCACAAGTGTTTAACAGTGAGGGGTAGACACACGAGACAAACGCAAAGACTGGTGTGTAGGAAATAACTGTGGAGAGAAAGCTGCAAAAACCATAAATGCAAACACACCTTACAACAACTACAAATGTAGTCGTTTGTAAGAACAGGGTTAATGGGATAAATTAAGCAAAACATTAAATAACACCCAAACAGAAACAGCACTGTGGAGGAGAGTGGTCATATGAACAGCAGAAATAGAACAGATAATGTCAACGATCTGATCAGACGGCATGATACAAGATAAAAGATATGAAAAGTAGTGCCACTAACCTGGATGACTCCCTCCATCATGCTCACCATCTTGTTGACGATGGCGATGACCTTGTGTGTCCTCTCAGACGGTGACATGTCAGGGCGGTAAGAAGGCGACAGGACGTAGCGGCAGGCCATGTAAAGAACGTAAGTGGGCGAGAGCTTGAAGTGAACCGTGGAGCTGTTGGTGTAGTTGATGATGGCTGAGAGGAAGGCATCTTCAGCTGGATGGAAACACACGAAATCTAATAGTTAGACCATTCAAACTCACACCCACACACTGGGACAATGTGTGTGACTACATTATAACATTAATCCAAACTGAGGGAGAGGAGGGAGGGAGAGAGGCACACAAGGACACACCGATACTTACAGTTGTCTCTGAACTCGATGCTGGCTGGCAGAGTCAATTCTGTTCTGTCTGCTGAAATGTCCTGAGACCTGATAAGACAAAATAACAGCATGAGAAGGATAAAAGAAGAAAGAACTCAGCACAGACAATGAAGGAGAAGAGAAAGGAGAGGAGGGCGTGTCTGACCTATTGTCCTGCTGCTCTCCTCTGATCATGGGCTTGACCATTCCCCTCTCCATTTCCAGCTTTCCTGAGCTCTGCACACAGAATCAACAAAATACATTTCACTGTAATTGAATTTACAAAGTGACTAATTGGAGAATGCATATAGATAATAACTATTATATCATGAGGCTTGTATTTACAAGGCTGACGGTGACACAACTCAACATTAAACGTACAAAAACTAGTCTGTGTGGATGCCTCAAACTGAATCACATCAAAGCGGTGTTTTTGTGTGGCTCCTTTTGGAGCAGCGACAACAGGAGGTCTTGTGTTGAGTCGCTGGCAGGGCTCTCAGTACTACTACCAAACAGTTAACACGACATCCAGCAGATGTTGGTGCTTTTTACATGTTCTGAGTCTCACACAAACCCTTTAATTTTGTAAAGCCTCCAGCAGCATGTACAAAACAGCTTGTAGCATGAAGCAAACATAATAAGTGTATAGTAATTAATATTTACAGCATGTTTAGTTTTACATATATCCATACAAGTCAATTAGCCAAACAACAGAAAATTGATTTGCAGCAATTCTGATAATTAGTTGATTGTTCCAGTTGCTTAAAAAAAAAAAAAAAAGCCAAACAATATCAACAATCAGGTACAAAAATGTGAGAATATGCATTTTTTATTGGCTTTACATAATTGTACAGTACATCAATCATTGATGGCTGGATATAACCAGCATTTTGACAGACATTTCACAAACCAAACATAGACGACCTGTTAGTATAGAGCACCAATCAACAGTTGTCCTCCCTTTGCCCCCAAAACTTAAAACCTGTGAACCTCCATCACTGGCACCTTCCATGCACATCTTCTTTAACCATGTTTCCCCAATAACGGACATCACATTCAACATGACCAAAGAAAGTCATTTACAAAGAACATAAAACTATATTTAATGTGGATCAGCGACTTCTGCCCCAGCAGAGCAGATTGAATCAGTGCATCCCAGCTGTAAAACTACCAAGAGAACCAATTTTGCTCAGTAAATAAAATGGTTTCACTGTTGAACAAAATATAACAAACTGTGAGATGTGAAAATGTTCAGTGTGTGTTACCTTGCTGGTAGGCAGGGCCGCTCCACTGTGGATGTCTCCGTGAAGGTCGAAGGTGGTCTCTGGGACACTGCTGCAGCAGAGCACAAACACGCAGCACTTTAGAAAAGAAATTGTGCTCTCCACAGCTGACTTTTCATTACTGACAACAAGAGGAGCTCAGACTTAATCCAGACACAGACACAGACACACACACACACACACACACACACCCTCATCTAACTCATTTTCAGGGAGGACAGAGCTGGATCAGGGAAGCAGCAAATGAATGTCTCACTAATACAGACAGATAAGTTTTGCTTATACACATGCAGACACACTTATATAACTAATTAAATATAGAGAAGCCATGGCTGGAGTCCGGGCAAAACTACGTAGAGCAGAGCTGGTGCACTCAACACGTGCACGTTTGTATGACAGCAATTGAATGTGACAGCAGTTGGGTTTTGAAGGGAGATGTGTGCTTTTCACGCTCCATATGATGGGGCCACCATGTCAACTAACCATACAACACTGACACAAATGCACAAAGCATTTGTGCTCTATGTCACTGACAATAACCAGCAGCAGCCAAAGCAGGTTAAACCATTCACATGCACTTGCAGTACATGCATAAAAAAATGAGACAAAGCAGAGCTGCTAAACAACAATTCCAAGATGTTTTTTGTAGATCTGTCAATTTAAATATTAGGGTCAACTTTAGCAACCTCAGAAAGGCGTGTGCGTCTCCCAACTAATCCAAACAACATGTAGACTGAGGTTTTCAGCCACTGAAAACAGATCTTTCCCCAAAAACTTCAAGGTAGTACATTTGAAAATGGTGGTCAGGGCAGTGGATGAAAGAGGACTTTCCTTAAAGCTCATTTATAACTGTCATAGTGAGGAACGACACGGTCATGTTGTCAAGGCTTGAAGCTGCACACGCACAATACTTTGCAGATGTATTTTGTCCTTTAACATCTAAAATCATGGAAAAATAATACAAAAATTGAGAAAAGCATGGGTCCAAATTTTGTTTCTGCCTAAACTGCCACTATGTTTTCCTTCCTTTCATGCCCTTCTCTCACTGACTGATGCTAAATACTGGTAACGGTCCCGACTAAGCTGAGAGGCAGCAGATTAAAGTTCTGATCACTCATCTGTTCAACGACCAAATCCTGGTGCCAAATGTCTTAAAAATCAGTAGCCCTGCCAAACTGTGGCTCTAATCAGCCTCAACATCATGGATGTGTCTCCAGCTTTTAAGTTTCTACAGCCGAACATCGGAAAGCACCCACAAGACCACGAGGACCCATACTGGCAACAACAGACTCGTGATCCAGACTGAGGTGACTCCAGCTGCTGTTAATGTCACTCTCTAGATATTACTGAAACACTTCCAACTCAGCTTAGAGGCAGAAAAACTCATCCATTCCTGCACAGCTACTGCAGCGAGGAGTAGCTCCTCTCAAAGGTTTCTGACTCTAACTCAAATACAATTTGACATTACTGACAAATGAGATTGTAGTGACCTGACACAGCAGTGATTCATGGAGCTGGTTACTCACACACACTCCTCTTTCACCATGTTAGTCATCCACCGAGTTGATAAAGGGTCGTTCAACTCAAATCACCTTTTTCTTGCCCCTCACTCATCCCCAACTTTCTCACATACTCCCTTCTCCTCTTATCTAGTGTGCTCTGCCTTTTTTCTGCTGTTTATGTGTGAAACGACAGTGAGTAGGAGACCACACCCAGCACCATGTTGATAAATTAGAGGGCAGTATGTCTGCCATAACCCTAGACCTTCACTTGTCCTCGTTGCCATTCCTTTAATTCTCTTCCTTTCCTCCTCCTCCTCCTTTTTCTTTCCTTCATCTCTCGCTTTGCCTGCCAACTCCAAACCTCATCCTCTCCTCTCCTACAAGAACGCCTTCTTTTTTCTTTTCAACATTTGGAGAAGAGTGCACGCAGAGAACGAGGGGGAAGGACAGTGGGAAGATAAAGTGGAAAAACAGAGGGAAGACATTAAAGATAAACAGACAGAGATAGGTAGGGAGGGAGGGAACTGGGCCGTCGCTGAGCCTCAGGCAAAGGTTTTCCATTTTCCAACACACACACCCTTTTGTTTTTCCTCACCCAGACTTGTGTCGGCTTCTCATCATGGCCACCGGTTCCCTTTTCCCTCCCTGGTCGAACATCGGGTCCACAAACTTAAAAACGTGAGCGGAGCCAAACTGGAGGGTGGAGCCCGGACGCAGCACCGTTGTCTCAGTAATGCGTTGTCCGTCAACAAAGGTGTCGGCGTCGGGGCCATGGGGCGTCACTGTCACCATACCTTCACTGTGCATGAGGTTGCAGTGATAGGGAAGAATCCCTGGACCGAGCAGCTGGAGACAAACAGCAGGTACATCAACATAAAGAAACATCTGACTGCTGCAACATCTGTGTTGGTGGGCACAAAAAAATTGTAATATTACTTCCAACTACCAACAGCCACACAGGCAGTTAACCAGCTGGGGGCGGTCATGTTTGTCTCATCCTATATTCATTAACAGTGGTTTACACACAGGTTTACACCCAAGTGCTACTAAGCAGCACATTTTACAAATGACTGCCACCAGAAAACTGCAGATGATTTTGCAAGTCCTACAAGTTAAATGAACAGGAAAATAAATTATCTTGTGGTACAAATTGAATATATATAATATGCTCCAGTGTTGCAGTTGATGGTGAATTTCTTAGCAGATGTCAAGACACTGCTACCATGAGGGAGGCCCACCTCTGTAACAGACGTTTACACGGTTTATATTTCTTTGTACAAAAAGTGAGGACAATTCAGTTCAAATGTACACAACTGTGTGTGTTTTAGTGACGCAGTTACCTGGATGGCTCCATCCTCTGTGCAATCTGAGCCGACCTTAGTGACGCTGTGTTGAAGCCGGTACAGCTTTGGTTTGTCTCGTGAGTCAGACCCGTCTGGACACACAAACACACACAGACTTAGCACCAAACAGGGCGGTATTCACATCAAATTTGAACAGGTAGGTTTACACTTTCAACCACACACACACACACCCTTATTGGCTGTCCACACACAGAGGACAGGACAGAATCCATCCATGATTTCAACAGTAAAAGAATCAATGTAAACCGGTATACACTAGGATGTGCACGGCTATAATAACATACTGCCGGTAGCTAGAGAGCAATTATTGATTAGTAAACAGGAGTTTAGTAAAAGCAATAACTTCAGCACAGTTAACTGAAGAGGAAAGAGCAAACATTATGGGAGAAAGAAAATCTGGGAATAAATGAACGGGTATCAGAAAAACCTCAAGCCATCTTCTAAAAATAACACAAAACCACAGGCAGCAAATATGACAACCAGGACAGCTTGTTCTTCTATAGAGATATAGAGACACTTTAAAAGAAACTGACAATTTCATTATGTTCTGTGATCATGGGTATCATGCATCTATGAGAGATCATAACAATATGCTCTGTACCAACACTCAGTATACTAACATGTTCAAAGAATTACAAGCATTGCTGTTTAAACAGTGCAATTATTGTGAAGAAAACATTACTAGAGAAACTCACAGACGGACATCAACAAGTGTTTGGTCCTTGGTGTTTAAGGTGTGTGCGATATTCTGAGATACTTCTTCAGGGCACGAATGTTGCCTCCGTTCAAAGTAAACTAACGCACCCCCCGACTCCCACACTGTATCTGGCAGAAAGCTCCTAAACCATCTGTCCTGACTGCAGATTCTTTGCCGCCACCCCGTTCCCACCGTCTGCTCTCGTCCACTATATGAGCGAGAGGTAGTGCATCTTAAACGAGCCAATAGAAAGGGCAGAAAAGAGTCCTGTCCGTTTGTGAGAAGTGCCAGTAAGCAAGAAAAAGACCCAAGACGCGAAATAATAAAATGTTGAACTGCTGGTGCTGCATCCCGGCCCATTTCAGGCACTGCTCCCAAATCTTGAACCATATAATTTTCAGAAAATGCCACGTTTTGGATTTTGGTCTTTGATGCTTTTTGGAAAAATGCATTTTCCAGAGTTCACTTGTGTAGTTAGTACACTGAGAAGAAAATTATATGAGCTTTCATCAACTGCATAATGAAGTGAGTGAGTAATTTTTACTATACTTAGCAATACAAAAGCTGAAGTTATGAAATTTTCCCCAAAACACCACTTTACTGTCTGAAACCAAAAGGGTTTTTAATTCCACAGTTTAATCTCCTTGGCCTGTTTTCTGAAGTGTAATATTCTGCATTGTATCCATTGGCATTAAACTGTCAAATATTCCAACCAAGACTAGTACACATTTAGAAGGCCAAAAGAGGAGTCAGGGGCTAGTGTACCTCCCCTAGCAATCCCATCAGCCCTAGCAACAAAAACAGAGAAGGTGTGGTAGAATTTTACCTTCATGGTGCCGATATGCGTAGTAGGCATAGTGATTCCCTCGCCCTAGGCAGATAGGCAGGCAGGTGCAGAAGGACACATGCGCAAGGACACCCCCACACACACACACACGCAGGCAGATGTGCACACAAACACACACATGCCATAAGAAGGTGGGAAAGAAAAACACACAGCAGAGGGTGAAAATGCAGCAAGGAGGAAAAATGCAGCATTACCTTGTTAACCCATTAATTGCATGAAAGCATTCACACTCACACACACACACACTCACACACACACAAACACACACAGTATTTCTGTGGGGTTTCAACTGCCTACATTTATTATACAGTTCGTCATATAATGTACCAAACAAATACTTTTCTTTGTATTTTCCCTTTCATGATACATGAAACAAATTTCACACATCACTATGTCAAAGATGAAGAAACAGGACCGACTAAGATTATAACAATGGGAAATTCTCATTTCTCTTTTGCCAAGAGGTATCCATTAAATCTTACAACATGACACCTCAAATAAAGGTATTGTCAGCAGTCTAACCACTGTGCACAGTTATTATGGTAAATGAAACTGTAGGTAACCGTAGCTGCTTGGTGCTGTGCTAGGTTCATTATTTTACATCTCCTGGTACCTTGGAGATAATAAACCACTTCAATTTGTGTTTCACAATTTTCAAGTTTAATCAGAAAGCAGAATGTGACCGTGTAGCTGTTGACGTATAACGAATGAAATCAAATATAAATAATACACTGTCAGTGTTAATTGTGTGGCTTTTAAAAAAATCAATTTAAAGTAGCAGGACTGGGCTCACACACGTGGACAAATGAGCTTCATCAGATTATGACAAATGTTTTTAATCTTAAACCTCACACAGCCAATGCACTGACCTCTTGGTTGGGAAACTTAAAGATAACAATACAGGACAGGAAACACACACACACACACACACACACACACACACACACACACACACACACACACAGAGCACCCCAGGTTTAGAAGAACCACCCAATCAATTTTACATCGTTTGTTTTCCCAATAGACAGTGAGTCATCACCCTGTCAGGTTTGGCTTTCCTAATCACGTCCAATCAGTATAATCAAACACAGCTGGAATCAAATGAAGGTGTAGAACCATCTCAGGGATGATCAGAAGAAATGGACAGCACCTAAGTTAAATATATGAGTGTCACAGCAAAGGGTCTGAATACTTATGACCATGTGATATTTCAGTTTTTCTTTTTTAATAAATCTGCAGAAATGTCATTCTGTGTTTTTCTGTCAATATGGGGTGCTGTGGGAACATTAATGAGGAAAAAAATGAACTTAAATGATTTTAGCATATGGCTGCAATATAACAAAGAGTGAAAATTTTAAGGGGGTCTGAATACTTTCCATACCCACTGTATGTGTGTTAGCACATTCCTGGACCAAACCCTCTGGTTTACCGACACCATTTTTGTACTACTGCTGAGACGTGTTACCATCAGACCCAAAAAGTTAATGGCATGAGGGGGTGACAGACAAAGAGGAGGGATCAGTAGCAAGAAATGAGCTGTTAGGGCTGGATAAGGTCACACTTAGCAAGAATAAAAGGTCTGAATCACTTTTGACAAAACAAATACTTCTTGGTACTGGGATGTTGTACTGCATTCCAGAAGTTATTCTGTTAATGCAACTTACCTTATGTTGTGGTTCCTCAACCTTTGTACTTCCATTTCAGTTAGCAACTGGCACAATGCTTTTGAAAACTCTGAAGTCAACCATCTATCTTCTAACAACAAGGTTGTATGGGTATATAATTAGTAATTTGCATCAAGATCTTAAGGTGTATTTAAGTTTGTTAAACCAGCCTAGTGTAGGCAACTGTGCCTGCAGCATTCTCGCATATTCATCTGTGTGTTTGTGAAATGGTGCATAAATATTTCTGTGAGATGAACTCTTGACCTGGACCCAATGTGCATGCGTGTGTGTGTGTGTGTGTGTGTGTGTGGGTTGGATCCACACTTTCATAATCTTTTTTATTAAATATGGTAATACTATGGTAGGAGGCAACCTCTGTGCTGTTGACAGGACCTGTCCATCCTGCACTAGCTGGCTCTCCCACAGCAGCAGCATGTTGGCTGCCGTCCTCCTCATCCTCACGTACAACTCTCTATTCAGGCATCTCTTTGTAACCCTCTCTTGACTGAAGCCAGTAAATATTAAACATTAATCAGCTGATTGTTAATCACACTGACTGGATTGATCAGCTTTCCCCATGTGTGTTTTTTGATATTCCCCTGGACTGGGGGTGGGGTGGGGGGCAAACATTCAGCTATCTACAGAATTGTCCACAGGTAAATGCAGCTATCTGCACAACACATTTTAGCCATTTGTGACCTCCTGCAGTAACATTTATATACTGAGCTGGCAGAAAAAGAAACCAGAGAACAGCTAGGATCCATAATGTAGTCCCATGTGTGTCACTCACCTTTTCATGGAGAAAGGTACAGTGTCACCACAGTGACATCTCATGTTATTTACTGCTGCCTACTGGTCACTGCCCATCATTACAGTGGCCTTCACTCAGTGCAGCTGCCACTCATCCTATTCCTATTTCTTATTTTGTTACAAGTAGTATTCCTACAACTTTCACCGCTGCTGCAATTACAACTATTTAAAGTTTCATTGATGGATACTAATGGTCAAAAGTGGAGCAACACCATGTTGCTGTGTGTATATTTAAATATATATATACACATGTATGTGTTGTGATTTTTACCTGGGCTCAGCTCCACCAGATAAGGCAGTTTCTCAGGCGGCAGGGAGCTGCTGCCGTCCTTCCCTCGGAAGCCCTTGTCATCTGCTTTCCTTCCCTTCCTCCCCTGGTAGTCTGGAGGTCTCTTCTTCAGCTGGAACACTAGTGCTCCTGACAAATGATACAAGAAACATATTTAATTTATTTTTAATGACAATGTTTTCTCCCAGTGTTTTCACCCACAGGGTTGTCTTGTTAAAAGGACACAAGAAGAAGATATATAAAATATTGTAAGAACTGTAAGGCAGCAGAAGAGGGAGGTAGCGACCAAAAAGACAGGAAGAGTCATGAGAGTAACCCGATGTTGATATGTTGTTAGGGTCTTAATAAACTGTGCATTACCTCTCTCAGCAGGCCAGTCCCTGAAGATCTGCAGTGGACACTCACTATCGTCCAGAATCACATCTTTACCTGACTTATCATCTTGCTGCAAAACAAAAGATAAAAAAAAATAAATATATAAAAAATAAAAATCTGGTAAGTAACTGACATATTTACTGTAGTTCTTTCGAGTATAAAACTGTCCCACA